AAATCGGGTCGGGCTGCGTCGGCCGACGCTGTCTGAGTTGGCCTTAACGGTTAGCAAGCGCTATCGGTTAGCAAATTGAGGGCGTGTCTATCATCAACCAATCACACGTACGGTACGCGTTTACAATTTCCAGTTTCTTGTTGGCCAGTGATTCGATCATCATATTGTTGGTATCCGGATCGGGATTTTCTCGCATGGACGCACGGCAGCTAACGGTTAGCGGGATCCGGATCCTGCTAACCGTTAGCTGCCGTGTGAGAACATAGCCATAGAGAATGCAACGTGACGACGCGCGCACCACGGATCGTTTTTTACGATCCGTCGCTCAGACTGCACTGACAATCAGCAGACGGCGTCGCGTCTTAAATCTCGCCCGATTGAAGACAGGGCGCGCGCGCCGTCTGCACATTTGGACAGCACATTACAGCTGTGAATTGATGACGGATTCGTAGCTGACGGTTGTACGACCATCGTACGGCGCATTGTGTGCCTGGCTTAACATTTTGTAACTGTGAACGTGCACGCGTCAGATGCTTTAAAGTGTTACAGCATCTTTACTCATAGAACAGTTCATGTTATAATGTAGGAGTGTTTATGGCGTTATAATCATGCAAAATTATTGAATTTTTTAATTAAAAAATAATTATCACTACTGCTGTGCCAGAGCATTACAATTGCAAACCACGCATGGGATCGCTTCTTGTGTTACAACATCTGTCCTCATAAGAATTATTCATATCATAATGTAGCGGGTATTCATAGAGTTACAATCTTCTTTTTTTATATAATGAATGACTATTTAAATATTTCCTCCATTATAATGACCAAATTTATTTCTCTTCCGAGTAACAATGATCAATACTACACGAATTATTAATACATTTTTAAAAAAATCGTCCTATTTATAGATGCTCTGTATTTTTTATTTATTTTTTTTTTTGGAGTTCACAAAATGGACTGGCTCTATTATTATAACAACAATTTTCTTTATAGTAGGAATGATCTAAGCCAAATGTTATATCCAATTTCTCAAAATAAATTTACACGGCTTATGGTTTAACTCGAAAACTGATCTTATCAAATCCTTTACTGAACCTTTTCTTAAAAAGTCTGTCATACCCACTATAGACAACACATCCATTTGCATTTGAGAGTGTTTTTCAATTAAAGGTTTCGTTTACAAGGATGATGAACACCGGTATACGCACTGCCATGGCACGTTTGACATATTACTAAATCGTCTTAATAGATCCTGACGTAATAGAATAACTAACTTAATTGCAAATGATGTCAGGCGAATGCCATAGATTTAAGATCGTATGTAGTGGTTTGTCATACTAATTTGCTCGATACTTGTCCCTTGTTCCACTTGAAGAATAATAATAACTCGAAACTCACAAAAGAGTGAATGTTATTAATGTGGCGACGGGGATAATAAATTGTTT